TAAGTTTATATTCCATTCTTTTCTTGCTTTTGTAGGGAGGAGCCATGTATTGGGAAATGATGAAGGAAAGAAATGTATTAAAAATCAACTTGGATTAAGCTTTCACTCTCGTCTGACCCCAATGCAGTTACTTCATGCTCATGGGAAAATTGATGAATGTAATGAAGTTGAAAACTCTCTCAACCATATTACCTCATTTTCTCCTCATGAAAACATTCCTTCTAAGCTCAAAGCCCACATATTTAATACAAATAAGAATGATTTAGTCAGCTCTCCAAAACTCACACCAGAACTGAACACACACATTAGGGAAGAACCTTATAGATATAGTGAGCAAGGCAGAGCCTTCAGTGTGTCTTCAAGCCTTCATCACCCGGGGGTAATCTACACTGGAACGAAACTTTTCAAATGTAAAGAATGTGGCAAGGCCTTCAGGTACCATTCCTTGTTTGTACAACACTGGAGAATCCATACTGGGGAGAAGCCTTACAGATGTATCAAGTGTGACAAACTCTTCAGGCAAAATGTTCACCTGTTGCAACATCAGAGAATTCATTCTGGAGAGAAATCTTACAAATGCAGTAAGTGTGGCAAGGCTTTTACTTGCAATACAAATCTTGTGCGGCACCAGGCCATTCACACAGCAGAGAAACCTTACAAATGTGATTATTGCAGCAGGGTTTTCAGGCACAAATTATCCCTAACAGTTCATTTGAGAATTCACACTGGAGAGAAACCTTACAAGTGTAATGAATGTGGCAAGGCCTTCAGACATAAGATATCTCTGACAGTTCATCAGAAAACACATATTGGAGAGAAATGTTACAAACATAGTGAGTGTGATGAAGTCTTCCATCCAAACTCAAACCTTGAAGAACATCACAGAAACCATTTAGGAGAGAAACCTTACAAATGTCCTGAATGTGGTAAGATCTTCAGTAAGAATTCAACCTTTGTACGACATCAGCTTATTCATACTGGAGAGAGGCCTTACAAATGCATTGTGTGTGGCAAATCCTTCTCTCAAAAATCAAGCCTTAAAAATCATCACACTGTCCATTCTGGGGAGAAACCTTTCAAATGTAATGAATGTGGCAAGACCTTCAGACAAAAGATATCTCTTACACGTCATCTTCGAACTCATACTGGAGAGAAACCTTATAAATGTAATGAGTGTGGCAAGGTCTTTTCTCAAAAGTCAAACCTTACAACTCATCAGGGAATCCACACTGGAGAGAAACCTTACAAATGTAATGAATGTGACAAGGCCTTCAGACGGAAGATAGCTCTTAGAGTCCATCATAAAACACATACCGGAGAGAAACCTTATAAATGCAATGAATGTGACAAGGCCTACAGACAAAAGAGATCGCTTATAATTCATCATGAAACACATGCTGGAGAGAAACCTTACAAATGCAATGACTGTGAGAAAAAATTTAGTTCTAGTTCAAGCCTTTATATACACAAGGTTATCCACGATGCAGCTCCAGTCTACAAATGTGATGATTGTGGCAAAGTTTTCAAGCACCAATTATCTTTAAGAGTTCATCTGAGAATTCATCCTGGAGAGAAACCTTACAAATGCAATGAGTGTGGCAAGGCCTTTTGTAAAAAATCACACCTTAAAAGGCATCACATAATCCATACAGGAGAGAAACCTTACAAATGTGATGAGTGTGGTAAAGCCTTCTGTGACAAATCAAACCTTAAAGCTCATCACAGGATCCATATGCGAGAGAAACCTTACAAATGTAATGAGTGTGGCAAGGTCTTTAGTCACATTTCGTACCTTGCACAGCATCAGAAAATTCATTTGTGAGAGACTCTGCAGACTCATTGTGTTTGGCAAACTATTCTTGAGTTTTACCATTAATCAACATCAGAGAGTCATACTAATGAGAAATCAAACGAATTCAGTATTGGTGGCTGGGGCTTTATCCAGGCTTGACCACTCCATTTTACTACATTTCAAAAGGTACTTTATTGAAGATTCAGAAAAACCACACACTGAAATGCTTATCATGAGACTAATACCCAGGGACCATTAGTGTGAAACTTCAGAGGTTTTACACAAGAAATAAGTCTCTCTCTAGTTACCTAGTATTTAATCTCTAATACTACATGGGGAGATGACCTATTAATCAAAATACATTGACCCATGA